CAAGTCCCTCGCAACTAACACGCAATGTGGAATAACTTAAAAGTCCTGCTCTTATATTAAAAATTTTCTCTCTCTTAACTCTAAGTTCTCTCTTTATCTTTAAGTTAAGAGCTTAATCAAAACGCGATTAGTCTCTATTTGACATAATTAAGAACTAAATAACATTCAGTTTAACAAGCAATCAAAATGAAAACAAATCTCTTAATAGTCTTGATTCTTGTAATATATGTTCTCAGTCGACCTGTTTATATTTTTATAGAAATACAAAATTGCGCTATCATTTTATCGTATTTCTACATTGTATTAGCATCGAGTAATTTTATCGCGGTCAAGCATTCATAAAATATTATGTAGATAACGATAAATTTTAAATCATACACAAACGTAAACCCGTTCGCGTGCTCTGCGACAAGGGTTGCCAGCTCCTGTTTTATGTTCTAGAAGATTTAATAAGAGTACCCGGTTGACCGAGCATTGCTCGGTATTTTTCGCTCAGTTTTTTTAATTCGTGTGTTTTGGAAATTATATTTAGATACAAATTACATACTGATGAAATACGGATAATATTTTTTGATCTTAGCGACATAATAGAAAAAACTGAACTGGTTATTTGAATAAAAAATCATGAGTGCAATTAGTTTAATTTAAATTTTCGTGTTTTTTTAAAATTCTAAAAAAAAGGGCTCGAAAAAATAGATTTTCTCAAAAAAAGTAAGGAACTTGAAAAAAAAATTAAAAAAAGTCCGTCGGTCCGGGCTCGAACCATGGTATTACGATTTTGTGACCGCCCAATATACCAATTAAGCTATTTGTAATAATTAATAAACTGTCAAAATTTACCTTCTTATTCTAACGATATTGTAGCAGTTTTTCATTGCCTAAAAACACGGACAAAAAGACATTTTCTAAAAATAAATCCTAGCTAGATCGATTTATTGCCCCCGAAACTCCCTGCACACAAAATTTTTTGAAAATCGTTGGAGCCTTATTGCTCGTTTAAAGGTATAGGATTAAGTAAGGGACATAGCACAAAAAAGAGGATGTCATTTTTTTCTGTAAAATGCTGTTAAGATATCAAAACGCGACATTTATTAATAAAGAAAGCAATGTATTTACGCAAAATAACATAATTTGTCTCTCCAATAACGCGCATTATTTCAATGGGATTTTTAAATTCTTGAAGTTCAATTAACAGAGGGAAAGTCGAATACGCGCAATATTTCCTCGTCTTCTCATTAAAGATTTCAAATCAGGGGACAAGATCAATTTTTAGGTGGGAAATAGAGGACGTCCTTTAAAATAAAAGAAGTGTAGTAACCCTATCTGCAACTTATATAATAACTGCACAACTCTGAAATGTATCAATACAAAGAATATAGAATCGCCATGCTCGATCAAATAGGATCATCTTTAGATAGTCGTTTATTGACTTTATTGTAATTAAAGGCCCCTAGGTTTATGATAAAGTGAAAATTTATGATAAAGTGAAAATTTATGATAAAGTGAAATTTATGATAAAGTGAAAATTTATGATAAAGTGAAAATTTATGATAAACCGGGAGTCGACCCGGCTTCGCCTGGACAGGCACCTAGTATGTGACGTCATTTAGATTTAAGATAGGTAATTTGAGACCACACATTTATAAATTTAACGATTTTTGATATATGGCCTAGATCCCTCCTGGCAAACTTTACGAACAGATGGGTAGCAGACCCATCTGTTCGTAAAGTTTCGTCACTAGCGCTCCAGCTGAGCCGAACATTAGTTCGGACAGCCACACAGAAGGGCTCATAGACGCCAGTTGTTTGAACATTACAGACGGACACGTCGATTTTATTTATAGTGCATTGGGGTAAGATCTGTGATGAGGTAAGACCGTAAAATTCAAATTTCCGGTGAATTATGCTATACTTTTGAAAGCTAGCAATATGGTACAAGACTTTTTATTCTGCCCCGACCGCAAATTTCAGCCAGTCGCTCCGAAAAGTAGGGCGTGTGCTGCGCAGTATTTTATAAAACAAGGTAATTTTTTAATTTTTTCGTCTGTCTGTTCTTTCCCTATCACTTTTGTTTGCGATTTTTAGTGACGTCCGGGCTTCCCCTTGATGGCCAATTCTTCATCATGCATATAAAAAGTTATTCCTTGTCTTCGCACACGTTTTACGCAGAAACTGTAGAGTTTTGAAACGTAAAAGCTTCTTATAGCTAAATTACGTGTAACCATTAACAATTTGCGCCATGTTTCAGAAATCTGACGTATATAGATGTCTAGAAAATAAAGTTTTTGCCAGACTCTTTTAACTAGTCGAAAATCCGTCCGGTATTGCCCCAACGCACCTTACATCTATATACTTTATTATTAATCGCTTTCAATATAATATGTAAGTATAACAAATGTTTGTGAACAAAAGTTTTCCGTTGTTTACAAATTCAATTTTCATATCTAAAGTCATAGACTTAAATATACTGGCGTACAGTGATAGGTGATGATTAATACAAATTAAACGTCATTTTATGACGTTACGTTGGCATTGACTTTTCATTAAACCAAATTCCTCGCACTTGAACCTTATGAGCTCTCAGTATCCTTCGACCAGTGAATTAAAAAAAAAATGTAGCGTTACTTTAACTTTAAAGTCGATCAATAAAGTAAATTTATAATAATGAATGTCTTCCAGACTGAATATTCTGTCACGGTGGTCAGTCTCAACGAAAATAAGCCATTTGCGCAAGGCAAGATTATAAGTGCATGTGCACTCTATTATAAGTGCATGTGCACTCTATTATAAGTGCATGTGCACTCTATTATAAGTGCATGTGCACTCTATTATAAGTGCATGTGCACTCTATTATAAGTGCATATGCACTCTATTATAAGTGCATGTGCACTCCATTATAAGTGCATGTGCACTCTATTCCATCACATTTGTATCCCGATGGGGACGGCAATCGGAAGCAACCGGAGAGAGATCAGACGCCAGGACCAACGGATTTAGGTGATGTGGATGCCAAAAGCAGATTTTTCACGATTATAGGTGCGCAGAAAAGCAATTTTTTGTCATTAAAAACTACGAATCCACATATTTTTAAAATTTATGATAGTTAAAAATTACTCTTAGTGAATTATGTTGGCCAAAACATGATTGACACATTTCGGCTCGATAGAAAAAGATTGCATAATTTTCTCATAATCTAGAATTTTAGGAACGTCCACTAAGTGAAAAAGCTGTTACATTCGAATGTAATGAAATCAATTTCAATTAAATGCTCAAGTTATGTATTCACCAGTAAATACGTGAGTGAATTATATGTTTATTTTTCAATAAAAGAGTACATATAATTTTAAAAAGAAATTTAAAATGAATATTGTGCGAATAAATAACGCGCGGGCTGACCAAACAGTCCTTATAAAGCGTGAAAAATCTGCTTTTGGCGCCCACTTCACCTTAACGTGCTTACCGAGGCACGGGGGTGAGATACCGTCAACTTCCTGACTCCAACTGCTACTCAAATAACCATTTTTTGGGCCGACCCAACGGGTTTGATTTCTTGAACGGGTAGGAACGCATGGAAATCTATCACCTCATTTTGTGCCGTTCGTAAGAAACGAGTATGGGAAATGGATACAAGAATTTGTTTATGGCATCCAATTCCAATGTTCGGTGAAATAATTATCTTGATTACGCCAGTTTTAAAATACCCAGACAACGCTGACCTGGGTAACAGAGTCGTAGGTGCGAGACGTCTGGTCCTGCGAACGCCGAGCCGTTTGACAAGCGTACAAATATATTCACATAAATAAAATTGAAACGTCTGCGTGTAACATCGAATAAACTTTTTACGTAGTAGAGCCACGCTACAGCTATATCACAGTTGTAGCACGAATGGCTCTTGACGATGAAGTGACCGGGGAGGGACCACGCTCTTACAGAGTACCAGCGTGAAATAACAGCTTAGTGCTTTACTGCAAGTGAGGCTTCCACTTTAATCCTAAGGGGTAACAACGTATCTGCAATTTGATTCTTAATTGAGTAGATATAAATGTATGTCTATGAACCGCAGCATCCACTTAACATCAGGTGGACTTCGTACACGTCTGTCGCCCTTATTCTATTAAAAACTGCCTTATGTTAGGCGTTATTAGAAACTTAATAATCAGTTTTAATATTTTTGTCCGTCTGTCTCTCCGGGCTAAATCTGCGGAATGGCTCAACCGTTTGTGTCGACACCGATCAATGGCTAGACAACAATCTCTAGAGTTATCTAAGCTAAATTTTGACTGAAAAACTTGAATTATTTTTGATATTTGTTTTGATATGATATTTGTTTGTAATTGATAAAATAAATGCTCTTTAATGACACCACATCATTAAACTTAAATTTAAATGACACCACATTATTAAACCCAGACGAAGCTGGGGCGGGTGTCGCTAATATACAGGGTTATTTTGCAATATATGCCCAAATTTTCAGAAAAGGTTCAGAATAAGTAATATAGTGGAATGGTGAATGAAAAATCTCAAACTTTCTCTCCTTTATTTAAAAGATCTAAATTCAGAATGCATTATTTTAAGTTATTGTCAACATTCATATATATCTAGCGCCTACTATTTTACTAGGTACGCACGCACATTCGTAAGGGTCGCTCGGTCGGCATAAACGTTGTGAATTGAATTTCATACAGAGGTTAGATAATTTCAAATAAAAGTAGAAGCCTTATTTATTCATAATTTCAAAAACTGCAAAAACGGTATATCATTATTTGTATATTTGGATTTAAATATAAAATTTGAATACTCTTTGAAGAATAACTCTGTATAAAATACCGGCAAGTTCACGCCACATCAGAACAAATTCAGTTCATTCATTGTGCGGACTTTTAACGGTACGTGAATCGTGAAAATGAAGAAAATTCTCACCTCGTGTTGTTCTCAACTTGCAGTCTCAGTTTGACGTGCACTGCGGCACACATAATAACATGAGTGCTTGTTCCTTGCAGACGCTCCTGGTCGACGCCAAAAAGCCACAGAAGGATGTACATGTGAGTACAAATTGTTTCTGCATCCACAATATATGAATCCGTAGCCGTAGTTCACATGGTAGAGTCATGCTGCAGCTATATTATGGTTGTAGCACGAACGAGTCGGCTCGACCGGGGAAGGACCGCGTTCTCACAGAATACCAGCGTGAAATAGTAGCTCAATACTGCTGTGTTTCGTATGGTGAATTTAGAGACCCGGGGCGGGGCCCTTTTTAATTGTATACAGGCATTCTATCTTAATCTTAAGGGGTGACAACGTAATTGCATTTTGATTCATAATCGATGATGGATGTAGATGCTTATGGGCTACAGCATCCACTTACCTGAGATTAGAGTGAAACTTAAATTCATTAGACAGTGCATATTCTTTGTTTTTCTATTTCTTTAAAAAACTTTGTTATCTAACATGATTTTCTTTCATATAGTGTATACTTGTAACTTACGTAAATTGCACATAGACAAACAACTTACAAATAATAGTTTGTAGGTTACATTGACACTTGTTGCGTGCGGGATTGGAGCCCGCGTCCCTCAGCGTCGCGACTCGATGCTTAGCCACTGTGGTACCGAGCCGTTTGAATTTGGATTGTAACGCTTATTTTGTCAGAATGCCAAGGGTAGGCCTGGATGCAGATCAGAACTGTGGGGCTGACAACACATGCAGAGTTTAAATTGAACAATTTATGTTTATGAAGATAGTGGAAGTATACAAAAGTCTAGTTTTCATTTTAATAATAATAATAATAAATTATTTATTTCGTTAAACACTAATGTTCCAATGATCATTGATCGAAGTCACCTAGTAAGCAAAATAATGCCTGTAACAGGTGACTTCGCTCTTCCATAGCTAAGAATTACAATATAATTAACGAAATAAAATATCCTAAAGTAAATAATAAAGATAATAAAACATGATTTTAGTAACCTACCATCAGTCTCAAAGCATTAATACATCAATAATATAATCATTAGGGTAGTATTTTACATACATGTATATAGAGCGTATGTGTATTTGGTAGTTGAATTTTAGCATTGTATCTTTTGTTGTTTCCAGAAATTCATCAACGATTTGCTAGAAAAGGCGAAAACTTTGTAAGTGAAGGAGGCAACGAAACCAAATCTCAACGCACGCCGCGCCGCGCACCGTTCGCCCTGTGGGACTTGTCTAGTTTAATGTTCGATAACCACTTTTTAGCCAATAGTTTGTGTTGTGACGACTCCGTGACGCGTCCGTGACGTAGCTGTAACGCGTCCGTGACGCGCCCGTGACGTGCCCGCGCGTGCGGCGTCTAGTTGATAAGCAAACTGTATGTAGATACTAGATAGTGTCGATGTAAGCCGACTGCAACGGTTCGATGACATCCATTGAATACAATGCGTTGTATTAAATTAATAATTAATAGACCAATTGTGTAACAACTTTTTATATTGGATGTATTCAAATGGGACGCGTAAGGACGACTTGTTCCACTGCATGTAAAATTGTCAGCTGTTGGTTTTTATAGGGATGCATTGATGCGCACTTCTGCCGATATCATACCGATACCGTTATTTATAAAAAAAGTGTCAACGATACCGATACCGATGTCGATCGAGCTGGCTTCAAAAGTGTAAAAAGCTGTGGGCTTAGATTATAAACAGACAAAAAACAGAACAACGTTACTCGTTTAATACTTGTTTCGAATGTTAAATATTTAACATTTTGAAAATTATTGTTATTTAACAAAATAATAATTTTAGTTCAGATTAGAAAATATTACGCGAAAGCCGTTTTTGCCGTTAAGAATAATTTTTCAGATGCAGTGGAAAAGTTGAAATATTTCTTGCCATTTTTTGCAGAATGAAGTTATAAAATGCGTGTATTTCCCGAGCGTAAATAAATTGTGCCGCGTTTATTATTATATACATTTATTATATACATAAACTTAATTATTGTCGCCGATTCCGACATATCCCACAAGTTTGCCGCTATATCAGTGTTGGTATCGGTATCGAATGCATCCCCAGTGTTTCATTAGTTTGTAATTTGATTTGTGATAATGTAAACTTGTATGTACGGGTGTACAGCGGACGACTGGACGTTGCCCGCCAGTGTTTACAATTATTAGACGGCTAAACTTGTATCATTTGCTGAATGGAAGTGTTCTGCTCACGTTATAATAAAATAATCTTAGATATTATTCATGTATTGTAATGATTTCCGACATACTCGATAAATAATTTACAAAAGTTGTATCGTCTCGTCACACGGATCGCTGTGAGCTGACTCCTCCGACTGCGCCGGATACTATATGCATACTTTAAGTACTTATAGTATGTACATCATACTATGTTACTTGTTCATTTTTAAAGTTCATTTTCAATAAATCATTTCAAATGAAAGCAGAATGAATTGTTTAAACTGTTTGTTCAGCGGCATTGCGCCTTCTTAATAAAAGTTTCTTAGTTTGATAATAAAAACAAAAAAGCAGTATAAATGTAAAAGTAAACAATGAATGGATCCAATACGATTTACGGACGTTCAAGAACAGAGCCTACTCTTTTTTAAAAGGCTGACATTGCGTCTGAGATTTCTCTGGTGTTGCAGTTGTTCGTAGGCGACGGTGAACGCACACCATTATGTGAGCCGCATGCTCGTGTGCTGCTCCCTCTTACACAGGGTTGTTTTTCAAAGAGTAACCAAATTTTAAACTTAATTTCAAATACATAAATAATGATATACCGTTATTGAATTTTGTAAATACGAGTAGATACGACTTCTACTTTTATTTGAAATTACATCAAATTGAATGTTATTTATGGGCAGTAACGTTTTTACCTACCGATCGATCGTTACGGATGTGTGCGTGCGCAGTGCGATCAGTTATAATAATGCATTGCCACGCATTTTGAATTTAAAAGATAAAAAGGGCAGTATGTTTGAGTTTTGTTTAATTAATTTTTCTTCAGCATTTGCTTATTTTACTTATTCTGTACTTGCTCTACAAATTTGGCCGGTTATTGCAAACTAACCCTATATATATATATATATATATATATAAAAATATATATATATATATATATATATGAGGGTGAGGGAGCAGAGAGTGCAGCCGTGCTGGCGCATGCACTGCCCGCGCAGTCGGTTAGTCTCCAATAAGAGTGGCTGCAGTAACTGAGATGTGCTCTAGAAGCTAGAACTTTAATATTTATCTTTACGAAAGACAGTAAAATGACAAAAAGTTTTTATGCTTGTAAACACAATTAGTTCACTAGAAATGATTCACTGGGAATGAATAGTATAGTATTTCCTTTATGTTGTATCCTGGCAGTCGATTTGTGAGTCAGAGGGTTGTCAACGTCTTAGTTTTGACGACTAACAATATCAGAAGAGAACTAATATTTTGCAGAATGGCTCCTGGGCTCCGATTCAAAATTGTTGCATACTCATGTTAGTTTATGTACAGAACCTAATTGAGAAAATTATTAAGTAATCACTTTTGTTACAAATTGTTCCTTCACGTTCGATATTCAGTTGTTTTGAAATGATATTCAGACGAACATCACTGGGCTTATTGCGGTTATGTACTTCTGTAGAAAGTATCTAAAGGCGTACTGTGTACATACCGGCAGAGAGTGAAGTGCGGCAGATCTCTGTAGGGAGATACACGGCTGGACGAGCTAGTTTCCACTAATTATCGGGTGTCGGCGCCTCTGTTCACACTAGTCAGTTGTTGGCACCGATCGAATCTGGAGGCATTTTTTGACAATCTACGCGAGGTGGCCATAAACGATGAACGTCGACGAAGCTTTTGTTGTGATGTATTATATGAAAAGAAATAAAGGAAAAAAACCAAGAAAAGAAAATTTTGGGTTCACCAAACCGACCTTGATAAGGGTATGTTCGATCTGCGGCACAGAACAGCTAGCGATGGGCGGAAGAAAGGGGAGCTGGCAGAGGGTTATCAGACTCGACATCTCATAGAATGTGAACAGCGCCATGCACAGACGAACAAGATTCGATGCGAGTTTTTACGGAGGTAGAGGGCTGATAACACCCGACATTTCTTATCAGCGCCTACAAAACTACGGTGTCGGATAAGTGTGAACAGCTTCATATAAAATGTTGTGCCACTAGAGTTTCCTGTCGTGCCCGGCACCCGGCAACTGGGAACGGGCTCTAAGTAGAGGCATACTCTGCAACTGTCACAAAAGTGTCCACTAATGTTAAACCCATTAAGTACATCTAGCTATGTAAATGTAACTATTATTGTATGAAACTAAATTTTGCCTAATCGTTGAATATTGCTGCGCAAGCAGATGCTGCTTACTTTCTCCTACATTTTGTACCAAGACGTATTTGACTCTAAGGGCCTAGTCAAGATTCTGCCGTCGAATTATAGAAATTTTGTAATAAATTAATTTAATAGAAAAAATGTTTTTTTTTTTTTGTTAAATACGCTCACATATTATGCAACAAAAACCGTGATCAGTTTATATAGCGACATTGTATATTGAATCCATTAAAAAATCATCTCTGTAAAGCTTATTTACTTAAACCCCTTCTTTGATACTTTAGCATATTATTCAGATCTTACTGTATATAGTCAAGTTATGCAGAGGCCGGAAGACGTTTTAAAAATACTAATTTATTAATGAAAAGATGTTTAATCGCTACAAGAAGTTGCGCACAACAAGCTGCCGGATTCGAGAATCACTGTGTCCTCCCTCTCTCTTCGGACCTCGGATAATCCTATAATATGCTAGCGCAACTTGTCTATCTCTTCTTCCAGCTCCAGTATCTTCTCGTCAGTCCTCAGGGTGCGTGCGTTGTGTCGTTCGTAACTGTAACTAGGATAGCTCGTGTTAAGACCGCAACGGGGTCACATATGCGTCCAGTTGTCTGTGTATGTCATTTGCCCAATCAATAGTTTGAATTAACCTTCTAGGCTAAGTTAGTAGTTTACATTAGATCTTAGTAGTAGCTTTAGTTGTTGAAGAGAACCCTCCAAGCCGGGGGACGGTCACGCGGAGGACGAGTACCCTCTCATTTTGTTTAGTTGCTTAGGAGCTAAGCCGGTGCCTTTCTCCATCCTACCCACATTCCTTTCCGCACGCACTGAAATGGGTGGAAGCCAAATTATGTGGCGTGAGTTTTGTCACCAACGAGAAAGCGCGCTCCCGCCTAAATGGAAGTGGAAATGGCCGACAAATAAAAGGACATTCGCTACCGCTGCTCGCTCGCTTGCATCGCAGTTAAAGATAGACGCTAGATGTGATTTGCACCTGTGGTTGTCGGCCACAGAACAATCTAGAATTAACCGCTTCGCATAGTGCGATTTGTCATCGCGCATCGCTCCTTTCAACGCAGTCGCATCACCGTGGACATCGTTCTCGAAGCCGCCAAAAGGAACCCACCCCGGTGAGTGCTTTCTTTTTAAACTATCTTGAGCTTTTTTGTTTTCTCTTAATGTATCTCCTCAACTCAACAGCCTCACGTTTAATTTCCGCTCCGGGCACCGGCTAGATAATAGCGAATGCATTGCCCAAGCCTGCCACGTGCCACATCAGCCATCTTGTTTGGTTATGGAGAACCACACATACAGTTCACATAATATAGTAAAATCTCGCATATTAGAACTTGTTAGCTTGTAGCACCCGGGTTCGATTCCCTGGTCGGACCAGGGAATCAAACCCGGGTTCTTAGCTCCACCATTTTCAGGTTCCTTCGATCCGGATACTAAGGGTAGTTGGGGTAACATAGTTACCCTAACCATTTAGTGACCATCCGTTTCGGATTCGAACCCAGGAACAATTAGCGTCACCATTTTCTGGTTCATTCAGGTCGGATTTAAAATTATAACACTTCACCATCAAAGATAACGATGAAATAGTGATTATAATTGTGTAAGTACCCAATTAGGTACCTACGTTTATTCATTTCAATATAATTTTTGTAGTACTTAACGAACTGCTTGTTGCGTAAGGGTTCAATTGATTGTCTAATTGTATTAAAAAAAATACAACTATAGGTAACTTCTAGATTCCATATGGAGACTAGTTGTAGGGATAACTAAACTTATAAAATAAAAGTTGAGAATGTCGTAACGGCATAACGATCTGTGGAAATGAGCAAAGCATTTGTTTTGGCGGAATTGATTATTCATTTTAGTTTTTGTGACAGTTTCGTGTTGACTATCACGTGCGCGTGAACGATAGTTCAATCGTTTTGTTTATTAAATTCTTGTTGTTGTTATTATTCTTGTTCTTTCGTTTTGTTTTAATAATGACTAACGCGTACCAAGGTTTATAGTGTTCGTGAATACGCCAACATGTTAAAGTGCCTAGGAGAATTTGGCGGGAATGCTTTGCGTGCATTACGAATTCACCGAGAGAAATTCCCGACCGCTCGACACCCAGCTGACTCTCGTCTGATAACAGCAACATTACAGCGAGTATTAGAAAATCGGCCTATTGCTCCGGTAGCGGTAGGAGGTGAAAGTCAAGTGTACTCCGAGGAGCGCATTTTAGATGTCGTTCGCCGGAATCCGCACTTAAGTACACGAAGTATCGCTAAATTGTTGAGGCGTCGGGATGGAACAAGTGTCATACTGTCCATACAGAGTACACACGGGGCAAGCTTTAGTTTTATTATTTTTAGCCTCCGGCAATCACGACCGCCGGCTAGTTTATACCGTTGGTTATTAGACCAGCAACAACGTGTGCCCGGTTTCGTTGAGCACGTCATCTGGACCATTGAGTTATACAAAACTAGAGGAGCAAACCACCAGAATACGTGGCGCGGTCTCCATTTTCACGTGCGCAGCAGACGCCCCAGTCTCCGATGCGCGAAGTTCATGGGGCCAGGAAAAACGAGCACTCCTGACCCCAGCGACGGATATGGTCTATGGCTCAGACGCCAACCAAGATTCGGCTACGGAGGGTAGGGAGGGTGCCTCGCAATACCGACACTCCTCTCCCCCCGCAGACCCACCACCACGGCATCAATTAACGGTGCGGCCCCGTCACTCGCGGAGAAAAGGGCCAATGGCGCATCGCCATACCAGCACTCCTCTTCCTCCGGGACTTCACCTTGACTGCAGCGGTAGGGAGAGGGCACCCCTCTCGCCGCAGCCCACCGACACACATCCGAAGTGGGCTCGCCAAGCCCACTCGAAGTAGCCTCCTCGGGCCGGCCCTACACCCCGGGCCAGCCATGTGGTTCCTCTTTTTTTTGTTCACCGCGGGTAATAAAGCCACGGCTACTAAGCTCCCCGTCATGACAAGGCGGGAATCCGTTCGGCCGACAACCTATCGTTGGATGAATATCGCCGCCTGTGGTTCCAGGATGTGGTGCACCTCCACATATCGTGACGTTCGTCCGTCAGCGCCTCACCGAGCTATTTGATGATCGCTGGATCGGCAGACTAGAACCACATGCTTGACCACCTCACTCACCAGATCTGACAGCGTGAGATCTTTCTATGGGGGTATGTGAAATAAAAGGTTTTTAATCGTGAGTGTGATAGTGCTGACGCAAATAATCGTGGATTTTTTCGACAAACTACGTGCAGACTGTATCGAAGACCCTATGATGATGCCCCGCCTGTATGAGGAGACGCAACGTCGAGCCTAAATCTGCCTCGAAATGAATGGGGCACAATTTGTGCTGCATCTCATAGGGCCACGGAAGATTTAGATCGGTAAGCTGTTTCATATCAATAGTTTCATAACTGTAGACATCAGAATAATAAACATACCTACACGATGGATAAAAACATGACTCTATCCTTGTTGTAAAGTAGACAAGTTAGGTATTTAGACAAGTATTGCAATTTATAGGTATTGGTACGATCGCGGGCTGCGTGAATTCGGTGACCCTTGTCAGCAGAATTTAGGTATTTTAAGTTCCACTACCGGTTTTAGGTATTTTCATGATTTTTTTTATTAAATTATCGTTTCATTTAGCTGTAACAACACGATGGAGCGTGAATAAAGCTAATAAAACGTAAAAAAATGATCTTTTATTCTTCGGAATCAATTATTTTTGGGCCTATCATCAAAGGTATTGTTAGTACTATAATATGTCTTCGTTTTCAGGAGTTTTACAAGTACTCGCTATTAATTAATAATTAGTGTTTGTTGAATTGTATAACACAACACGGGTACAAAGTATGAAGTACAAATAAAAATTAATTTCGATTATCCACCGTCTGGGGTGGCTAGACGAACACGCGTTTCTGAGTATCTACTCTGGGGTGGATACTTTAGGATGGATATTTTTTTATTTAATAGATTGTCAATACATAATAGAAATAATCGTTGGAGCCACACGCAAGTGTGAGTAAAGATCCAAGAGCAAGTCTTATCCGACACTATTCCGATGATATCCCGGACGTCTGAGCGAGATTAGAACGGCTCTCCAGTACCTTAAAAACGGCCAGTCCCCGGGCGAGGATGGAATTACAGCGGAGCTTCTGAAAGCGGGTGGAAAACCGGTACTTGAAGTCCTTCAGAAGCTCTTTAATTCCGTCTTCTATGGAGGCACTAGTCACGAGGCCTGGAGCAGAAGTGCGGTGGCCTTGTTCTTCAAGAAAGGTGACAACGCCCTCTTAAAGAACTACAGACCGATTTCCCTTCTGAGCCGCGTCTACGTGCTGTTTTCGAGTCATTACGAACTGTCTCGCATACCCTTCGGCAAATTGTACAGAAGTCTGAAGAGTACATTCTGCCACCTTGCCTGGCGTATGTGGACGATGAGAAAGCCTTTGATTCCGTCGAAATTTGGGCTGTGATACACTCTTCAGTGGTGCCAAGTTGACTGTCGGTATATCGAAGTGCTGAAGTGTTTGTACAGTAGGGCTACGATGGCTATCCGAGTACAGAACCAGAGTACGAAACCTATCCAACTGTAGAGAGGTGTAAGACAGGGTGATGTTATATCCCCGAAACTCTTCACCGCTGCGTTGGAAGACGTTTTCAAGCTACTGGACTGGAAAGGATACGGTATAACATCAATGGCGAGTACATCACTCACCTTCGATTTGCCGACGATATAGTCCTTATGGCAGAATCGCTGGAGAACTTAAGCACTATGCTCAATGACCTCGATAGTGCCTCCCAACGGAGAGGTCTTTAAGATGAACATGGACAAAACAAAGATCATGTTTATTGTCCATGTCACACCTATGTTCGTAGTTGTTGAGAGCACTATGCTTGGAGTTTGTTGACGAGTACGTTTACCTGGGACAAATAGTCCGACTAGGTAAGTCCAACTTCGACCGAGAGGTCAATCGACGGATTCAACTCGACTGGGCAGCGTTCGGGAAATTACGACACGTCTTCCGTCAGGTATACTCCAAAACTAAGTTGTATAGGTACAACCAGTGCGTGTTGCCAATGATGACCTACGGAACCGAGACGAGGTCCTTCACTGCTGGCCGTATTAGGATGCTCAGTCGCTCCGCAAGCTGTGGAGAGGGCTATGCCGGAGTTTCTCTGCGTGATAAACTTAGAAATGAGGATATCCTCAGTAGAACTAGTGACCGACATATCCCAACGGATTAGTAAGCCGATGTGGCAATGGGCCGACTATATAGCTCGAAGAACCGACAACCGTTGGGGAAAAAAGGTTCTCGAGTGGCAGCCTCGCACCGGTAGGCGAAGTGTAGGGCCACCCCCCACTAGATGGAGTGACGACTTGGTAAAATATGCAGGTAGTCGATGGATGCAAGTGGCTCTGGACCGTGCTTTGTGGCATTCCTTGGAGGAGGCCCTATGTTCAACAGTGAACTTGTGAAGGGCTGTAATGATGATGATGAATATAAATAGAGACGTGAATTTTATATAAACTTTAATTTAAAAATCATTCTTATACTATTTGGTCGTTTTTTATTTTGGCTACAAAAATAGGTGGTAAAAGAATAAACACATTTAAAACAAACAGATTCGACTAAGACACAAGTAAAATTAAGCAAGTTTTCAGCTTTTATTTCTTGCACCGGACGTTTCGACTATTAAGCCTCAAGAATGTCGTCACGTTTCGTCCATGGGCTCGTGCGGCGTGTCTAGCGGTGCGTCTAGCGGTGCGTCGAGCGGTGCATCGAGCGGCGCGTGCGGCTCGGGCGGCGGCGCGGCGAGCGGCTGCAGCGCGGCGCGCAGCTCCAAGAAGCACCGCTTAAACTGCAGCCCGCAGCCGCGCGAGCGCCGGAACTCCAGCACGACGCGCGCGCCGGCTGCCACCGCCCCCGCGCCCGCCGGCGACGCGCGCACCGCCCACACGCGCATGCGCAGCTCGTCGCCGCACTCCACCGCCAGCTGCAGCAACCACACATACATTCACATGTTGTATAACCCTCATATTATTTATTTACTAGCAAGTTCTTTAGCCGTGTAGTGGCGGTTGAGAATATCCACTACCCCATATCTTCCCGTGGGTGTCGTAAGAGGCGACAGAGGGAGACAGGCAGGAGATGGGCAGCAGCATCTTCCTGATAACAACAATAACATAATAAAAAACTGCGGTTGCCAACCCGCTCGCCAAGCGTGGCAACTATGGCAAATATCCCTCCATGAGCAACGACACAAATAAACGGCCCCCAGTCCCCGGCGGCGCCGCTACTCCTGGCTACGATGGCGACCATGGTAACGGCGGGACAGGGGGTGCTAAGAATCTCCGGTGGAGGTTCGGTTGCCACCTACGACGACTCGACCTGGCAACGTATAACGCACGCACCCTGAGGACTGACGAGAAGATACTGGAGCGGAAGAAGAGGTAGACAAGTTGCGCTGGCATATTATTGGATTATCTGAGGTCCGAAGAGAGGGGGAGAATACGGTAATCCTCGAGTCCGGCAACTTGTTCTATCACCGGGAGGGCGACCATCTGTCCCAAGGAGGTGCCGGATTTATCGTCCACAAGTCTCGTCAACAATGTTGTAAAGATTGGGAGTGTGTCGACGAGGGTCGCGTACCTGATACTCAGAATCACCAAACGGTATTCGCTGAAGGTCATACAGGTCTACGCACCAACCTCGGCACATCCCGATGAGGAGGTGGAGGAAATGTATGAGGATATTTCTAGAGCCATGCATTCCTCCAAAACCCACTACACGGTGTTGATGGGAGACTTCAACGCAAAACTAGGCACAAGAGAAGGCGTGAGCTGAAGTTAGGGAAATTTGGAGTAGGGCAACGGAACCGTAGGGACCAGCAGCTGGCTGACTTTATGAAGAAAAAGGGACTCTTTATGATGAACTACTTCTTACAGAAGCGGCCCCACAGGAAGTGGACCTGGTCGAGCCCCGACGGTTCGACAAAAAATGAGATTGACTTCATTATGACGACCAGACGCCAACTGTTCAGTGATGTCTCAGTGATCGCAAGGGTGAAAACCGGCAGCGATCACCGAATGGTTAGAGGCACACTGAACCTAAACGTTAAGTTGGAGAGTTCTCCTCGTCTAATGAAGTCAACGCTCCGTCTCCCTCGTGCTCTAATCCAGAATCCCGAGACTTTTCAGCTCGAGTTACGTAACCGCTTTCAGTGCCTAAAAGATTGCAATGCAGTGGACCATATGAATGGCAAGCTCGTCCATGCGGTCGGAGCTAAGTTCTGCAAGATCCGCCGCAGAAGAACACAAAAACTCTCCGATCACACTCTTAATCTCATGGCTGTTAGACGGGAGATGAGGCTGCAATCGTCAACAGATTTAATGATTTCTTATATTTACGCGAAAACTATACATGATTAAATCTACTTTTACGGATTTTAAATGGGGACTGAGATGACTGTCATCTCAGTCCCCCGTGACCATGGGTGCTGGAAAGCGCCCGAAACGTCGGGAATTAAAAATAAAAGTAAATAAAAAGTAAAAATAAACGCGATAAAATCCGTAAAAGTAGTTTTAATCACGTCAACAGATTTGACAGCATACAGGCAACTGAACAGACAGATCTCCAAATGCATGCGGCAAGACTTACGCAACTTTAATACTGCTCGTATTAAAGAAGCGATCGAGCGGAACCACGGCTCCAAAGTCTTTGCCAGAGATCTGTCTGCCAGAAAAAGCCAACTGTCAAAGCTGAAGACTGAGTGTGGCAGCATCGTTGCCGGGACACCTGAGAATTTGAGTGAGGTTGAGAGGTTCTATGGGCAGCTGTACACATCATCGTTGGAGCCACACGCAAGTGTGAGTAACGATCCAAGAGCAAGTCTTACCCGAAACTATTCCGATGATATCCCGGACGTCAGTCTGAGCGAGATTAGAATGGCTCTCCAGCACCTTAAAAACGGCAGGGCCCAGGCGAGGCGATGGAATTACAGCGGAGCTTGAAGTCCTTCAGAAGCTCTTCAATTCCGTCCTCCATGGTGGTACTACTCCGGAGGCGTGGAGCAGAAGTGCGGTGGTCTTGTTCTTTAAGAAAGGCGACAACGCTCTCTTGAAGAACTACAGACCGATTTCCCTTCTGAGCCGCGTCTACGTGCTGTTTTCGAGAGTCATTACGAATCGTCTCGCACGCAGACTCGACGACTTCCAGCCTCCCGAACAAGCCGGTTTCCGAAAAGGCTTCAGTACCATAGACCACATACATACCCTTCGGCAAATTGTACAGAAGTCCGAAGAGTACAATCTGCCACTTTGCCTGGCGTATGTGGACTATGAGAAAGCCTTTGATTCCGTCGAAATTTGGGCGGTGCTACAGCCTCTTCAGCGGTGCCTAGTTGACTGTCGGTATATTGAAGTGCTGAAGTGTTTGTACAGTAGGGCTACGATGGCTATCCGAGTACAGAACCAGAGTACGAAACCTATCCAACTGCAGAGAGGTGTAAGACAGGGTGACGTTATATCCCCGAAACTCTTCACCGCTGCGTTGGAAGACGTTTTCAAGCTACTGGACTGGAAAGGATAAGGTATTAACATCAATGGCGAGTACATCACTCACCTTCGATTTGCCGACGATATAGTCCTTATGGCAGAATCGCTGGAGGACCTTAGCACTATGCTCAATGACCTCAATGGTGTCTCCCAACGGATAGGTCTTAAGATGAACATGGACAAAACAAAGATCATGTTCAATGTCCATGTCACACCTATGCCGGTAGTTGTGTGGAGCACTACGCTAGAAGTTGTTGACGAGTACGTTTACCTGGGACAAATAGTCCGACTAGGTAAGTCCAACTTCGACCGAGAGGTCCATCGACGGATTCAACTCGGCTGGGCAGCGTTCGGGAAATTACGACACATCTTCGCATCAGGTATACCTCATCTCTGAAAACTAAAGTGTACAATTAGTGCGTGTTGCCAGTGATGACTTATCGGATCTGAGACGTGGTCCTTCACCGCTGGCCGTATGAGGACGCTCAAGGTCGCTCAGCGAGCTATGGAGAGGGCTATGCTCGGAGTTTCTCTGCGTGATAGACTCAGAAATGAGGATATCCGAAGTAAAATTAGAGTGACCGACATAGCCCAACCGATTATTAAGCTGAAGTGGCAATGGGCCGGCCATATAGCTCGAAGAACCGATAACCGATGAGGTAGAAAGGTTCTCGAGTGGCAGCCTCGTACCGTACCGGTAGGCGTAGTGTAGGGCGACCCCCCACTAGATGGAGTGACGACCTGGTAAGACATGCAGGAAGTCGATGGATGCAGGTGGCTCAGGACCGTGCTTTGTGGCATTACTTGGGGGAGGCCTATGTTCATCAGTGGACTTGTGAAGGGCTGTAATGATGATGATGATGATGATGACCATAGACCACATACATACCCTGCGGCAGATTGTAGAGAAGACCGAGGAGTACAATCTGCCACTTTGCCTGGCGTATGTGGACTATGAGAAAGCCTTTGATTCCGTCGAAATTTGGGCGGTGCTACAGTCCCTTCAGCGGTGCCAAGTTGACTGTCGGTAAATCGAGGTGCTGAAGTGTTTGTACAGTAGGGCTACGATGGCTATCCGAGTACAGGACCAGAGTTCGAAACCTATCCAATCCAGAAATGAGGATATCCGCAGTAAAATCAGAGTGACCGACATAGCCCAACGGATTAGTAAGCTGAAGTGGCAATGGGCCGGCCATATAGCTCGAAAAACCGATAACCGATGAGGTAGAAAGGTTCTCGAGTGGCAGCCTCGTACCGGTAGGCGTAGTGTAGGGCGACCCCCACTAGATGGAGTGACGACCTGGTAAGACACGCAAGAAATCAATGGATGCAGTTGGTTCAGGACCGTGCTTTGTGGCGTTACTTGGGGGAGGCCTATGTTCAGCAGTGGACTTGTGAAGGGCTGTAATGATGATAATGATGATGATGACCATAGACCACATACATACCCTGCGGCAGATTGTAGAGAAGACCGAGGAGTACAATCTGCCACTTTGCCTGGCGTATGTGGACTATGAGAAAGCCTTTGATTCCGTCGAAATTTGGGCGGTGCTACAGTCCCTTCAGCGGTGCCAAGTTGACTGTCGGTATATCGAGGTGCTGAAGTGTTTGTACAGTAGGGCTACGATGGCTATCCGAGTACAGGACCAGAGTTCGAAACCTATGCAATCCAGAAATGAGGATATCCGCAGTAAAATCAGAGTGACCGACATAGCCCAACGGATTAGTAAGCTGAAGTGGCAATGGGCCGGCCATATAGCTCGAAAAACCGATAACCGATGAGGTAGAAAGGTTCTCGAGTGGCAGCCTCGTACCGGTAGGCGTAGTGTAGGGCGACCCCCCACTAGATGGAGTGACGACCTGGTAAGACATGCAGGAAGTCAATGGATGCAGGTGGCTCAGGACCGTGCTTTGTGGCGTTACTTGGAGGAGGCCTATGTTCAGCAGTGGACTTGTGAAGGGCTGTAATGATGATAATGATGATGATGACCATAGACCACATACATACCCTGCGGCAGATTGTAGAGAAGACCGAGGAGTACAATCTGCCACTTTGCCTGGCGTATGTGGACTATGAGAAAGCCTTTGATTCCGTCGAAATTTCGGCGGTGCTACAGTCCCTTCAGCGGTGCCAAGTTGACTGTCGGTATATCGAGGTGCTGAAGTGTTTGTACAGTAGGGCTACGATGGCTATCCGAGTACAGGACCAGAGTTCGAAACCTATCCAATCCAGAAATGAGGATATCCGCAGTAAAATCAGAGTGACCGACATAGCCCAACGGATTAGTAAGCTGAAGTGGCAATGGGCCGGCCATATAGCTCGAAAAACCGATAACCGATGAGGTAGAAAGGTTCTCGAGTGGCAGCCTCGTACCGGTAGGCGTAGTGTAGGGCGACCCCCCACTAGATGGAGTGACGACCTGGTAAGACATGCAGGAAGTCAATGGATGCAGGTGGCTCAGGACCGTGCTTTGTGGCGTTACTTGGGGGAGGCCTATGTTCAGCAGTGGACTTGTGAAGGACTGTAATGATGATGATGATGATGATAGCAAGTTCTTCAGACCTATAATTTTATCACTTTTATTTATTCACAGATATAGGCATTGCTCTCTATCTGTTCACAAATTACACTAAAATCGATTCAGCCATTCCGAAGATTAGCCCGAACGAAAAAAAAAGTTCGTTTGTCTTAATAGCAACAAGTAACCCCCTGAGCTTAATTGAAACCACTTATTTTAATTTTACAACGGTTTCCAAATATTAATAATATATTATTCTATACTATTTAAGTAAGCGTCTGTGAACGCGGCGAGCGCTTGTGGTTCGTCGCAGCGCACGCACACGAACACGCGCGTCATAGTCAGATATAGAGTGAGGACTGACCATGTGCTGGTATAGGTACCGCCAGAGGTAGCGTCGCTGCGCCAGCGCGTCTGTTAACGCGGCGAGCGCTTGTGCCTCGTCGCAGCGCACGCACACTCACCACGCGCGTCATAGGCAGATATAGAGTGAGGACTGACCATGTGCGGGTGCAGGTACCGCCAGAGGTAGCGTCGCTGCGCCAGCGCGTCTGTGAGCGCGGCGAGCGCTTGTGCCTCGTCGCAGCGCACGCACACTCACCACGCGCGTCATAGGCAGATATAGAGTGAGGACTGACCATGTGCGGGTGCAGGTACCGCCAAAGGTAGCGTCGCTGCGCCAGCGCGTCTGTGAGCGCGGCGAGCGCTTGTGCCTCGTCGCAGCGCACGCACACTCACCACGCGCGTCATAGGCAGATATAGAGTGAGGACTGACCATGTGCGGGTGCAGGTACCGCCAGAGGTAGCGTCGCTGCGCCAGCGCGTCTGTGAGCGCGGCGAGCGCTTGTGGCTCGTCGCAGCGCACGCACACTCACCACGCGCGTCATAGGCAGATATAGAGTGAGGACTGACCATGTGCGGGTGCAGGTACCGCCAGAGGTAGCGTCGCTGCGCCAGCGCGTCTGTGAGCGCGGCGAGCGCTTGTGCCTCGTCGCAGCGCACGCAAACTCACCACGCGCGTCATAGGCAGATATAGAGTGAGGACTGACCCTGTGCGGGTGCAGGTACCGCCAGAGGTAGCGTCGCTGCGCCAGCGCGTCTGTGAGCGCGGCGAGCGCTTGTGCCTCGTCGCAGCGCACCCACACGCGCGTCAAGCGTCGCACCAGCCGCTGCAGCACGCCCTGATGTTGCGACTGGGGATGGACCACGACATAAATCTGTTTAAAAGTTATTACAAAAAATATTTCTTTGAAAACTATAATTTTTTACTTCCAGCTATTTTAAACTCTTTCTATATTGTACACGTCCCTTAATCTTTAGTGTAAATAGTTAATAGTAAAGTCTTTTCTAATATCTAAACAATTTTTTCATTCTGTGCCTCAACCTTTCTTCCTCATCTCACTTATACTCGCATTCTTGTTGTGTAAATGGATGATATACTTGAATATCGGAATAAAAATGATGGGATGGTTGTAAGATATTAATGCATCTTCACTAATTACCACAGGTTATAAACATGCAAAATGTTATTTCCCTGCGAATATTATAGCAGGTTATAATATTAGCAGGGAAATAACATTTTGTTAGTGTTACAATAATTCCATGTTCAGTGAAAGGAGTTTTCGTCTTATTGAGGATGACGACTTAACGAGGTTCGAGTTTCCAAGATTCTAGTGTATATCGATGTTTTTTGGCCTAACCGATCGTGGTTTACCTGCGATAGCTGGTCTTGCTGCGAGCCCAGCAGCAGCTCATCGGGCTGCGCCGGCTGCGAGAAGCTGAGCAGCGCGCGCAGGTCAGCCTCGCCGGGCGCGACCCCTCCCCCATCGCCACCATCCTCTCCCCACTCACTACACTCGCGCCCCACCGGTTGCGAGCACCACTCCCTCTTCGCGCTCCCTACACACCATACAACAAACCTTTCATAAAACACATTGAACAACATAAACCATATTTCAAATTAAAAAACTGTCAGTCAAAAGTGAGTTGTGTAAGTTGTAAAGAAATATTTTTAGCAACGTATTAATATAGTAAATATAATTTTCATAATTTATTGCACTGTTTCACACGAAAAAGAATGATTACTAGCTATACAATTCAAACCAATTTATACATACATATCTTTTTTTTTAAACAAAATCAATAATTGATTACGCAGTTAATGCCAATATTGCTTTTTTAAATATTACTTTCATCCATTTTATATATCCGAGCGCGACTGTCACGCGAGTTATGCTTTTTCCCTATCCCTAAAGTGCCCAACGTGCCTAAAGTTTTCACTTCAAAAATTAAAGTTAAAAGTTAAAAGACCCTGCAGTTGAAAAACGAATGTACAGAAAATACATACTTGTGCAGAGCAACGGTGTGCTTGTGAATTACTGTTGTATCTATATGAGTTACTAAGTAAAATTGAATTAAAATGACGGTCATGCTGTTTTCCTATTATTTTTTTTTTGTAAAAATTGTTGATCCGAATTCGAATAACACACTGTGTCACGAAAATAGCAGTGCAAGACTTGTAGATGCGTTTTTCTTGTGGTAATAAAAATGATCTTGTTCGATAAAAGTATGTACATAATGTTAGTAAATGTTTATTTTTAATTTGATTTTTTTTGTAGTAAAGTTATTTCTATATAGAAAGCGTTATCAGAACCAGTATTCAAACATATGTTTGAATACTGTTTCTGATAACTCATTTAAAGGAAACCACAGGGTTTTTGTTACATGTTGTATTACAGGTGTTAATTCAGTTCTACATGAAAAAGTTTTCACATCAAAGTACATGTTGAATTAATATTTCTTGTTTTCAAGCTGTATGTAGTATAAATATGGAGTGGTCGAAGAAAGAAGACAGTGTACCGGTTATCACGTAGCACCGCTGTGGTTCCGCGCCATTCATTTATCGCACTATCAAACGATTCACTGCAGATTCAAGCCTCGAAGATCGCAAAAGGACCGGCCGACATCGTACAGTATACCCGCGATCATCAAAGCAGTGAAAGCGTGAATCCAACGAAATCCTGTTCGTAAACAAAAAATCTTAGCTTTTCAGATGGGTCTAACCAGAACCACGGTCAAAAGAGTGATAAATGAAGACACCTAGGACTACGTGCTTATCGTAAGAAGACCAGATATTATTTGAACGAGCGTTTGAAAAAAATACCGCGAAACATCTAGCTATTATGTACTACGTACCAGAGGCGACACTGCGTTCAGCTACTCTGTTCCATTCAACAGAGGTGTTTACACCGCACTAATCAGTCACTCGCTAGGCGCTTGTAGAGTTGTCTCGTGTTGTGTTGATTAAAAAAAATCTCTTGATAAAAATATGCCGTTGTGTGTACTTAGGTAATGCACAAAAATTCAAGAAATATCAGTAAAAACCAAGGAATTACTTTTCATCAGTTAATAAGATACTTAATCAATAAAATGTATTATATATTAATAATAAAACAAATTATTCCTAAGACGCCATCGTGTCACGTGTCATGGAATATAGATTATGAAATTAATTTGTTCAGATGCGACATTTCTGTGGGTACTTAAGTATAGGAAGAATATATTATGATACACATTTTTTTGTAGAAACATATTATAAGTTATCGTAATTAGGCTAATTTTTTATATTTAAATCTGCTCATTATTCTTTTATTTTATTTTTAGGTTTCCACATCAAAGTCAAAGTGGAATAAATTCGTCGATTTTTAACTCTCGCGTGCCCAGCATTTATGAACGACTTTTATTCTAATTTAAATAAATATAATTGTAATTTAAATGTTATATTAATAAGTTTTGTTACACATATATTTAGTATGTTTTTATATTTGACATAGATTCCTTTTAAAATATTGAGATAAAAATATCATTAAAATGTAACTGTGATATAATATTATATTAAATAAGCAAATATAATATACAAAATAACAAAATTTAAAAATTGTTTTCGATATAATTCACCTATTCAACAATACAATCTACTATTACCTACTGATCATTCTACCTATGTTTGTTCTATGATAAAAAAACAACCGCGCAAACACAGAGTAGCGCACATTTTTTGTTTGAGATAGCTGTTCTAGTACGTAAGTACATATTACTTATGCCGCGAAATTTTGTTTTCGGATGAAATATTTTTAACATCGAAGAAAGTTATAACAAACAAAATGATACGGTGTATGCCCACAGCAGTGAAGAAGCCAGCACGCGTATTCAAGGGTTCAACGAGCACATTATTCTTCGTCACTCATGGTTTGGCTTGGAGTCTCATATTCAGGTTTAACTGAAGTGTTTTTCTGTGAAAAAGGTGTAAAAACCATTGCCGAGGTGTACCAAAATACCGTTTTAACAAACATAGTGGAACCTTTTTCTCAAACAATCTTCAAAAACAGACATTGAATATTCCAACAGGACTCTGCAGCAGCTCATAGGGCACGAAGCACACAAATCTGGTTGACCGCCCATGGAATTGACTTTATCGGACTGGTAGTATGAAGACTGGCCTTCACTAGTCCATTTAAGCTCATAAGATACGGCACCATTTGGAGGAGAAAGTCTGAGCTAAACCTCGTCTCTCCGAGCATCTTTGGCTACAGCAGCGGCAAAAGGGGGATTCTTTGAAAACGAGGGTTTTCGACTTATTCGTCTGGGTTCATTTTTTTTTTGTTATTTGGTATAAATTATAATAATATTCTCTTCGTTTACGTCTCTTTCATTATTTATTATCCAAAAGGGTTCACAAATATCCCTACATTGTTTTTTGAATTAGCAAGGCGTGTGAACATTAAAGATTTCTGACTACCGTCTTCTAAAAGATAAAAGTAAAAACAAAGTTGTTTCATGTGGTTTCAATTAACAATATGTTATAGGTACACAATTTATCAGTACAACTCAGTTTTCGAACGGCTACCATAGTAAAGTCCAAGTTCCAGACAATTTGATGAATTTTGATGTATTCTGAAAATCCTTTCAAATTAGGTGGGAAAAGCAAGCTCTTTTTACTTGTCATATTCAGAAATAGTTCTTACTTTCACTTTCTAAATTTTAATTTAAAGTAACAAAACCCTGTGGTTCCCGTCAAGTGTGCTATCAGAATCAGTATCCAAGCTTATAGAAATAATTTTTTTTCAAAAGTAAAAACGCATTTAAAAAAAATAATCTTACTGAAAAAACATTAATTTGTAAATTGTATGTGGTTTTATTTCCTCTAACTCACACGAGTATCGGTAATGCGGGGTCTTTGACAATCCTCTTACTCCTCGTCCAATGCAGAGATAATAAAACCACATACAATTTGCAAATTAGTTTTTTTTTCCTTAAAAAAATTAAATGTTTTTTTTGAAAAAAAAAATTATTTCTATATACTTGGATACTGATTCTGTTAACGCAGTTAACGGGAACCACAGGGTTTTTGTTACATGTTGTATAAAATCATCTAGACCTTTTATGTCTTTGGGAGACCGATCAATCCGCAGTTCTCTTCATAACAGCACCGTCTGGGCCCTTTCCATGACCAGGTTCACTATAGTTACATGTAATGGTTTTGATAGAGCTATCTTTTTGTTTCGATACTGATTGGATGGGGAATCAGAAATAAAATGTATCAGAAATAATGTGTGAATGTGTCTGTGTTCCACCTATATATTCGAGGATTGGTACGATGTGAGCCCATACGACTGCAATGTCATGGCGCAGGCATTCACTCACCGTACAAAAAGATTATATTTGCTGTGTTCTTATTATTCAGAAAATATATTTATTAGCGAAGTATGTATAGTTAATTGTTTACGACTACCACCGAAACGTTACGACTGTATTTCTTCATTACACTTAAATGCATAGTTTTCGCTACATTCAATGTGAATAGTGGACTCACCCTCTTGTGAGTGTATTATTATTCTCTATCTTTAAAACGTTATTTTAAGTTTCTGGAAGCTTTACGTTGAGCTGATATATTACCATGGCGCGGACACTGAACTGCACTGCATTTAGTGTTACTATAAAATGTTCAATACATTTCTTAGGTTGTTATGGTATTTTTATTTTTTCAGTTCTCATTTTTGAAATGAATCATTTCTTATTTCGTTTCTCACTGCCAGTACATAATTTGAATAGAATAATCAAATTCCTGATAACAGACTTTTTATCTTGCACGCTAAACACGTTCGATGCAAACAATCCATATTATTATACACGTCGCAACATATTAAATACACAAGATATTTGAAGGTCTTAGCCGATAATATCTTCTGTTGAGATAATATTATACTGCGCAATATCCTAGATGGTCCTGGTATAGGCGACTCCGGTTATCTGGATAAAGACAGGGTCTTCTAAAAGCGACAGATCACGAATGTTGTCCTGTAAAACTGTCAGTTCAGTATCCGACGTAATGCTGGAAGCTTTTGGTGCGGTATTTTGTACCATAAGGGCCGTTGTTTTTTTTCTTAGGTAATATAATATAATATAATTTGTAATTCTTTCTCCACCTCTTTATTTGCAACCTTTGTTGTCTAGGATTCACTTCACTTATAGGTAGTTGTTTCTTTTCGTCCTTCTACGTATGTAGTTTTGCTTATTCTTCTCTTGTTTTTCTCTCTATATTATAGAAAGAAAAACACCTGCCTTAAAGGCATCATTATTTTTTATTATGTCATATTTCTTTTTCTCTGCTAGCCCCTTTTTGCTAAGTCTTTCTTCTCGTGTTGGGTTCTTTGGTTTTGCCATTTTAAAAGTACAGATCTAAAAATAAGAAAGTGTGATGCAAATTCTTAGCCCAATTCATACCATTTTAAGACAATATAACACGAACGAGTGCGCGCGTACGAGTGTGTGCGTATGTGTGTGCGTACGAGTGTGCGCGTACGAGTGTGCGTGTGTATGTAACTTTATGAGCTTTAATA